ACACTCTGTATTTCATGTTACATATGACATCCTTATTATGCTCAAAAGAATTAAAATTTGACTACAACTCTCATAGGAGAGGTGGAGAAGGAATGATTTCATTCAATGGTGCTTGAAAACAAAGCTCTCATATCATTATTTTTTCCCCCCTGGGAAAAAGCAAATTTTCAGTTAGCACATTTTGGGTAAAGATTTCAATTTAAGTGCAACAAGAGAGAAGCAGCAAAGGTAATTTTTTGCAGTAGGTAGTCTAATTACTAATGGTGTTAGTAAAAGGGAATGAAGCTTTTTTTTTTTAATACATCTAATATAGCACTGAGGTTGTTAGTAGCAGAATCTTAGTTTCACACAAGTATTTAGAAGATTAATTTCTGTTAGAGAGGAACATAAGTTACTTAGTGATTACCGATAGGGCTCAGTTTTTGTCTTTCTCATTGTCTTCTCCCGTTGGGTCAGAGGCACTCTCTTCCAGAGCAAACTCCAATCCCACGCTCCTCTAGCGTACCCATCTTCGTCACCACCCCCTTGGGGTATAATTTTAAAATTGTTGGCATCTATGATATCTATAATCGGCACAGTACATACGGTTCTGTAGTGTAGTGATGGTTGCAGGAAAGATGAAATGGAGGGGTATGGACCCATATATTTTACACGTGTTCATGAGGAGGGAAAAACAAACAAACCACTTAGAGAAACACTTGACTTCAGAAGAAAAAAAAACAATGTTCTTTACCGATAAGGCTCAGTTTTATGTTTTCTTTTGGCCTTTTCCTTGTGGCTTAGTGGAATACGTTTCCATAGCAAACTCCAGTCCCAGGCCCCTCTGGCAAAACCATCTTCATCCCCACCTTGCTGTGGTTCAATGGAATAATCATTCCCATCTATGTAATCTATTAGAGGCACAGTACATGTAGTTCTGAAACATTTACAGAAAATGAAAAAGCATTTTAAACTCAAGAACTGAAAACTACCTAATCTAACATGTCCCATGATGCTGTCAAATTTGTAAGTTTGTCATAATCTTCTAAATCTAGTGGCAAACAGATTAAGGAACTGCCCCACTGGAGGAAAAAATGGATTCCCCTTTTCTTTTTGACAAGGAAGGAATAAAGGAGGCCAAGAGTGGGATGCAAGGACATACTGGAAGGGCAAATAATCGAGTTGTTGAGTTTGTTAACAATGCTTTCTCCTTTACGTGTTCTTCTAGGCACTGAAGCTTGTGACTAAACCACTACCAGCCTGTCACTTCCCTTCCCTGAAAACAAATATGTGAATGAATGAGTTAGGGAGAAGAGCTTATAGCACAGCCTTGGTTGTTTCTGTTCTTGTTGATTTTATTCCTTCAGGGCAGTTAATGGAGAGATGGACATTAGCATTTCCTACCTCTGAAAAAAGACTGCCAGGAAAGGTACAGAACTACTACTTTTCTTGAAAAGAAACCAAATTCCCCCTACCCTTGCCCTAATCCACCCAATCTCCAGCAGGGGAAAGGAAGGCCCAAAGCCAAACAAAAGCAAGGAATGGTCTCCATGTTTAAAGCAGAGTATCTTGCCTTTTTTAATTTCATGGAAAGGCTGCCCTGGATAGAAAATCAAAAAGATATAAAATTTAGCATTGAAAAGATAAATATTATCCTTGCTTCACTCCTCTTATCTTAAAGAATTTTCTTTATTTATTTACTAAAATAGAGATTAGCATCTTCCCTAACCATGTAGGTACCTGGCATTCATTATGCACTACTGTGTTCCAAGAAATGTGCTAAGTGCTTTACAAATATTACGTTATCTTGAAAGTACAGAATCCAAGTGGGAAAAGAGCCTGGGGAGTTCTTAACCTGGGTCCATGAACTTGTAGAAAACTCTATTTTTATAACATCATTTAAATATAACTGGTCTCCTTTGTAATTTTATGTATATTACTTTATGTATTTAAAAATATTATTTTGAGAATCGGTTCAGAGGTTTCACTAGACAGTTCAAAAAAAAAAAACATTAAGACCCCTTGCTCTACAATGATGATGTGGGAGAAAAACAAGGAGAATTGTTTCTCTTTGAGTTTTCATTCTATTCTAGGTGACACAGTAGATAGAGTGCCTGGCCTGGAGTCAGGAAGACCTGAGTTAAAATCTAGCATCAGACACTGACTAGCTGTGTGACCCTGGGCAAATCACGCAACCTGTTTGCCTCAGATTCCTCATCTGTAAAATGGGGATAATACTAGCACCTAATTTCCAGAGCTGTTTTGAGGATAATTGTAAAGTGCTTAGTACAGTACCTGGCATATAGCAAGCTTCATATAAATGTTAGCTATTATTATTATTCTCATTACAATTGCCCACAAGGAGGGCTAAAGGCACTGTAAGATTAAAGGAATTCTCCCAGAATTCTCTGGACTGTCACTTTCTTATTGCCCTTAAGAGAAACCCTAGGTTCACAGATTAGGATCACAGATGTAGAGCTGAAAGGAAATTTAAAGCTTATCTAGTCAAAGCCTCTCATTTTACAGATGAGGAAAGTGAGGCTTAGAAAAGAGAAGTTATTTACCCAAGATCATTCAGGTAGAGAGCCAGAATTTGAACTGAGGTCCTCCAATTCAAATCCATAACTCTTCTCACTATACCACATTAGAAAGAAAGTTAGCTCTACTTTTTCTACTTCACATTTTTAAAGTAACTTCTGCAGAAATGGTATCAAAGCATATTTACGCTATGCTAGACATAAGGCCTATTTTCAACTAATTAACATGGTCCTGCACCTAGTATTTACTTGAAAAAAAAAAGTTATATTCCTGTTCTAAACCAAGTATTATCTTGACTTTACATGGCGTCTTTCAGGGGGCTTCAAGGCAGTTTACATATTAACTAAACCTCAATTTCTTTGCAAAGAGAAATAGGCAGGGATTTCCTGAATTTTGTAAAGTGGAAAATGAAGACAAAAGGTGAAAGGAGTTGTCTGGTGAATCAATGAAACAGATCAATCTCAAATTCTTGATGGGTTTTTTTTTTCACTTCTGATTTACTTCCTTCTTCCACCAAATTATGCCTCCCCTCATAAGCTTTAAGCCATATAAACATTCCTTATAACTCTTCAGATTTTTTTATGAATGATCAATTCCTAGTAACATCTTAAAAGTCTGGATCAACACTTCAAAAGTATTAGTGGGCTTTTTCTGTACCAGATTACTCTAAAATAGTATGAAGAGGTAAGATGGCATGACCAGGGTTAAAGAAAAAACAAGTATTTCCAGGGCTGAAATTGTGTTGTTAGGCACAAGCTCAGAGGGGTTAAGATTTCTTACAAGTCTTACTATTATTTTCTAAGTATATCTACATATAGTTCCATGTTTATTTTTTTCTTATGTAATCTTTTATCCTTCTTCTATCAGAGCTTAGTATAGTGCCTGGCATACAGTAGACACTTAATAAATGTTGATTGATTCTTATTCCTCAAGCAATTTAAAGTGCATTTTGTGTTTCTTTTCTTTTCCCTGGAGAGGTCTAGCAATGGCTGGCTACTGATTGTGCCAGCAAACTTTTCTAAGAATGTAATTTTCTTCTCTAAATTAAGGGGAGGAAAAAGAAACCAAAATGTAGAACATTTAACATCATTTAATGAACTACGATCATATCTTCTACCAAGTAATACATGAAACGAGAAATCAATAACAGACTCTTAATGAAACTGATGCACAGATGCATGACACAGTAGAAAGAGCCTTGGCTTTGTTACTACCCCATCCTTGACACTCTCTGGGTGACCTTGGGAAAGTCACAAACTCCCTGGGTTTCAGTTAACTCACTTGTAAAACGAGAGGGTTGATCCAGATGGTTTCTGAGATCCCTTCCTGCTCTAGATTATGAGGTTTTGTGCTAATTCCATGATTTTTTCCCTTTCCAAGTTCACTATAATTTTTTTTAACCCTTGATAGGAACCTGAAAAATATCAATAGGGAAAAGTGAGGTCCTGGAAGGAAGGAGGGTTCTTAATTTGTTCAAGCTAAGCCACTTCTAACCATTAAAAGATGCCACTATAATGGCATGTCTGGATTTAGCATGTTTAATTTTCCTGGATTCCCAAAGAACTGTAGTTGTGGCTTAGGACCATTGATGCCTTTAAGAACAAGCTACTGCCTTCTAATAACCACCTAGAAAGTCTTGGAATTGAGTAATGACATTAAATTCTAGAAGGTCCTTTAGGTTCATAAGCAGAGGTGAAGCAACTATTATAATTCTAAGTTAACAAAATCTCTTGAGGAAATTAAAGACCTAACCTGGAAAAAATTTTAAGACACTGGGGTTACTGGTCACTATCTCACATTTAAAAAAGTAGTGTACCTAATAGAGTGTTGGGCCTGGAGTTGGGAAGATCTGAGTTCAAATATGGTCTCAGACACTTACTATCTGTGTGATGCTGTACAAGTCATTTAACCTCTGCCTCAGTTTCCTTAACTGTAAAATAAGGATAATAATAGCACCCAATTCCTAGGATAGTTGTGAGGACCAAAAGAGATAATATTTTTAAAGTATTTAGTACAGCGCCTGGCATACAGTAAGTGCTTAATAACTGCTGGTATACTTCCTTCCTTCCTTTCTTCCTCTGTTCCTCCCTCTTTTCCCTTCCTTTCCTTCTCTCCTTCCTACAGCAAAAGTGGTATTTGAAAAGAGGATGGAACAGTGGGTTTAAAAACTTAAGAAAGGCAGGTATGGCAAAGAGAATAGAGCAGAATGTGGAAACTGGGGTGACCCCAGGTAAGTCATTAGGTAACTCTCCAAAATTCTTATTTGCAGAACAATTTTGGATCTGCACTGGTGGTGAGTTTTCTCACTGGGAGTTCTTACGTTTCCCACTATATTCCCTTTCCAGGACTGGAGGGTTGTACCAAGGAAAGTGCAGGCCTGGCCTCCAAACAAAGAAGCTCACTTCAAAGCATGGTCATTTTAAGTCTTTCTGATGCCCCAGTTTAAATGGGGATATTTAAAATTATTCTTGGGTAAATGTACTTATAAATGAAGAAAAGGATTTCTACAGGTTCATTCTCTATTGGAGAGGGATCTCTAAGCTTACCTCATAAATATCAGATATTATATCAGTCTGGTATGATCTCCCCTAAAAAATACCAGTTGGATAAAATGGCAGCACTTAGGACAAACTGAAATAATGAACTGAGCCCTAAGAAGCTGATTACTTTTAAACAAGAGGAAAAAAAAATCAAACAAACAAAAAGAGAAGAAAAGTGTTTGTTACCTGTCCTTAGATATAGGAGCTATAAGTGGTGCGTACCAGTTTACTGCCACCTCACAATGGGCATCAAGGTATATCAGAACCTTTAAAAAGAAAGAGGCAAGGTGATAGAACACAAATTACTTCTGCATATGTACCACATCACACATCATTTAAAGACAGAGATAGCATTACTTTAAATTGGGATACATGCGATGTCTGTTTAAACTAGTATTCCTCATTTGAATAAAAGATCATTTAAACAACAATCTACTTGGACAAGCACAATTTATAGTTTTCATCAAACGCTTTAACACTTCTAACCTCAAAAGATCTCTGTTTTCTTCCCTGAGCTCTGTGAGTGAGTCTTCAGTGGAGATGAAGCTATACATGAAATTTCTCCTACCTGTCCAAGTTTGGCCTTGTGAGCTCCAATACTTCGAGCCTGAATTAGACCTTCTCGTCTCTCATTTCGAAATACCTTCACCAGGCCATTCCACTGCTTAATGTACTCATCTAGTCTATCTTTTAAGTGTGCTGTGAAAAAATGGGAAAAAAAAATACACAAATATTGTTAGTTAGGTTTATTTTTATAAGTTAATTCTAACACCATTTCCCCAGGAAATATGGATAGGCCATAGAAAACTCAACTGAATAATCGAACTATAGCTACATAGCTTTGATGGAGACTGTTCATACAGTAAGAAAATCCAAGTTATATTGCTTGCTGTATTGATTTAAAAGGAAAACAATAAAAACAGAAGTGCATCTATTTGGTTACACCTCAGCTTAGTATGCATTACGTAGGATTAGTTTTCTTAACAAGAGTGAAAAATAAGCATAAGGCTAATAAATGTTAAAAGAATCATAATTATTATACTTATTTTTTGCCAGTTTAGACTTTCAGTTGGAGTTAAATTCTATAAGCTTTGGAGAATACACAGTTTGCTTTGAACAGAAACATTAGCTCAAGATTTTTCAGGATGAATATTATCTGCAAATATTATATCCATTCATTTAAATATGACTATAGTGTAGGCTATTTATCCATTACTTTCTCGACTTTCTTTGATCTTTCTTTTTATTAGAATTTAATCCATTCACATTTATAGTTATAATTGTTGAGTTTGTGCTTTCTTCCATTAAACTCATATTTTTCCTCTCTTCTCTCCTCTGTTTATATTAATCTGATCCTGGCTGGATTACTTTTTGTTTTGTTTTGTTTTGTTATTTTTTGGTAAGGCAATTGGGGTTAAGTGACTCGCCCAGAGTCACACAGCTAGTGAGTGTTATGCGTCTGAGGCCACATTTGAACTCAGGTTCTCCTGACTCCAGGGCTGGTGCTCTATCCACTGTGCCACCTAGCTGCCCCTGGATTACTTTTTTCAAAAGCATAGTGTTCATAGTAATCTGTAACATGAGATCACACAAAGGGGTCCCTGGCCAAGAAAGAGAGCAAAAGTGAAGGTGTATCGCTTTCTTCGTACTGCAAGTGTTGGAACATCTACAGTCTTCATTTGGTGGAGAAATTTTAGCATGCTGCAACAAGTTTGATCACATTATGCCAATGTTTCCATCACGACTTCCCTCTGCATGAAAACAGGCTTTGTTTATATCCCTAAACACACATGTGATTGGCTGACTGTAGGCAGAACTGGTTTCTGGAAGCTTTCATAATAGCTGGCTTGTAGACACACAAAAATGAGGCCCAGTTTTGAAAGAGTCTAAAAATTGGTCCATAAATATACTACCACAAAAAAAAAACCCAACAACAAAAAAACAGCTACTTTGAGAGAAGAGCTGGTTGTTTAAATGAGCAAATCAATCTGGACATACATAACAGTCACTTGGCTCATCTTCAGAAAGCCTGCTAGACAGATACCCATATATAGGTACTTACACTAAAAAAGTTAAAGATTTCTATTAATACATGGGTTAGTTATCATAATCATTTAATGAGTATAAATAAAAATATTCTAGCATTGATACCTCCCCCCTAGGAAAATTGGGGCATTTCCCTATTTAGTAAGGGTTTGATTTTTTTTAAATCAGTGACTTTATTAATGAAATTACTAACTCAGCACAAGAAATAATTTATTGTTTTTATGTCCTTCCTGAGATCCCTTAGTTGTTTTGATAAATAATTAATGTAAAACTAATCTCTATTGCCAGGAACAAAGCTTGGGGGTGGGGGGTGGGGTCTGTTCTTCAAATTCTAAGGTTAGGCTATCCATGGCCCAGGATGCAACATGAGCTGTGTAGTCTAATGATTGCTAAGCCACAATCCAATTAAAAACAAAAACAAAACCAAACAACAACAACAACAAAAAATTCCCGCTGATTTAAGACCTACTGTGTATAGCAGTTCAATATCAGTTCGGAGGGATGCCTCCAGTGGAATGCCCTAGAAATCTGCTGTTTAACGTTTTAATCAATTTCTTGGATAAACGCATAAAGCAGACTTGTGAAATGTGTAGGATGACACAAAACTGGTTTAGTGAATATACTAGATGATAGAGTTAGGATCCCAAATGATCTTGAAATTTAATGGGATTATGTTTTACACTTGGGTTAAAACAACAAATAACAACCACCACCAGGCTTCAGATGTGCAAAATGTCTGACATGATTAGATAGCTGTTGGTCTGGAAAGAGATCTGGAGGTTTTGGTGAACAATCAAGGCAGCCCTAAACACTATAAGAATAAGGAGGTGATAATCTCATTTTACTCTGCTATGTTAGGTCCTAGGTGGTACTTTTCAGAGAGACACTGATAACCTGGAGAGCATTCAGAGGAAGGCAACCAGGATGGTGAAAGAACTCAAGTTTCTGCCACATGGGGCCTGGAAGATTGAGTGAAAGAACTGGGGATGTTTAACCTGGATAAAATTAGACTCAGGAAATAAAATGGTCATCTTCAAGAATTTGAAGGGTTGACTTATTCTTTTTTGGTCCCAGATAGAAGATACAGGTGAAAGTTGTAAAGAGTCAAATTTAGGATTAAAGTAAGGGGAGATCTCGTATTTATAACGAATGGAATGGGCTGTCTTGGGAGACAGCAGGTTTTATTTTACCCAGAGCTCTTCAAGTAAAAGCCTGGGGATCACTTGGGATCCCCAGATTTAGAGCTGACAGGCACCTCAGGGTTACCCAGACCAACCCTATGATGTGACAGATAAGGAAATAGGAAGTCCAGAGAGGTAAAATGTTTTGGTCACAGAGATAGGCAGAGAGCAAGGATTTGAACCTAGATTTCACAACTTTAAATTCAGAGCTGTAATGCTTCTTATGTAAAATACGGTGTAAAATGGATTCTTTTTTTATTATGGGTTAGACTAGAAGGTTGTTAGGGCAGACAAGTGGCCCAGTGGATAGAGAGCCAGTCCTGGAATCAAGAAGACTCATCTTCCTGAGTTCAAATATAGCCTCAACACTTACTAGTTGTGTGACCATGGGCAAGTCACTTAACCCTGTTTGCCTCAGTTTTCTCATCTGTAAAATGAGCTGGAGAAGGAAATGGCAAAACCACTCCAGTATTTTTGCAAGAAAACCCCTAATGGGGTCAGGAAGAGTTGGACACAACTAAAATGAATGAATAGCCTTCCAACTCTGAAATTCTATGATTCTATGACCTAGAGGTAAATAGATGGAGAGATACAGACACTACAAGTGGAATAAACAGAACTCAAAAAAAGGGAAAGCACTGAGGGATGGATGTAGAGGAATGGTCTGGAAAGAAAAGTGTATAACAGGAAGGATGCTTACCCCTCATCCTGGTCCCATGAGTACAAGGGAGTATGTGTGTGTGTGTGTGTGTGTGTGTGTGTGTGTGTGTGTGTGTGTGTCGGGGGTGGGGGGGTTGGTTGTGAGTAGGGAGGGAACAGCCACTAATGGAGTGGGTTTTCCAGGGATGTAGCATCCTCAGGGAAAATCCAAGTTTCTCTTAAATAAAGGTACTAGGATGCTGGTCAAAATGTTTAAGGAAAAACATGGGTTCCAAAGATCGGTACATGTTAAGTGATGAAGAATGGCACAGTAAAAGGGGGACAATGGCCCATAACTCTTCTAGTGAGGACATCCTATTATTTCCATCTTCCAAACTAGAATTGAGAAGAGTCTGTTCATCTTTATGGATTTCAATTTACTTCTTTATAAAGTAGGCTCATCATCCTTCCTCCCAGAAGCTTTATATTTGGAAATGCTTTGACCTTTGAAGTAAAACTCCAGGAAAAAGGACTATTTTCTGAATTTAAAAATGGAGACCAAAAGCAACCTTTCATTCAAACCTGACAAATCAAGTACTGTGTAATTAATAGACATATGACTTTCAGCTTTTACAGTTCTTTGGAATAAAAAAAATGAACTTAAGATCTTGTGTCCTTCAGGTAAGAATCAAAACAGAAACATGCCAAGATTTGCCAAAAAGTTGGTTCTAAGTACTTTGAACTACATGTACTCGGAGCCACATTCAAAACTAAACCTTAAAATTATGGGGTAAGGGCTAGGTCTGTGACTTCATTGGTTTAAGAGGTATTCCAGATGAGGAAACGCCATCTTCCCAGGCACGTTGGCATCTTCTTTACAATTTATAGTCTTCGAACCTCATTGAGAGGTTAAAATGACTTGTCTAAGATCACATAGTCAGTGGTAGGGCTTGAACCCAGGTCTTCTTAGCTTCAAAGTCTGTTCTTTACCCACCAGGCCATGTTGCCTCTCAAGTACATTCTAAAAACACTAAATTAAAAATATTTCAAGAAACAAAAAGATTTATTATAAAACCTTATACTTGAAATAGGGGGAAAAACAAACCCTGCAAACTACTGTTCTCCTTTTCCTTCGAGGTTTGTTTCTGGATTACAAATCTTTTAATGTTTCTTCATTTTCCTTTTAGGACGCTCCTTTTTTCTATGTGTATTTATTAACAAAGGGGACTTTCCAAATCTTTATGACCTGAAAGGTGGTACTTCCAGTTTTAATGCCGTTTTTGTGGACTTTGATTTTTAAAAAAAATTCTTTAAATAATTTTCAAACACATTTTCCAAAAACAATTGTTTTCTAGGGCAGTGATTCTTCCTCTTACTAAGGATGCCTTTGCCAATTACCAAATTATAATATTCTAAATTAAATGCACTTGCTACTACTGCATTTAAAAAAATACAGTACGTTCTAACACACAGATTTCAAAAATTGAGAATCAGTTGCACAAAGAAAGGGAGAGGAAGGAAGTGGGCAGGTTATGTTTCTATTTCCTTCTGTTGGTGGTACCACATGAGTAAAAGATCAGGGTTGTGATTGCTACTTTACAAAGATACTAGAGGCTGTGTAAGCCCCTAACCAAATGGTTACCCTTATTGTGGGAGTGGTTAAATTCAAATGTTGGAGAAAAGTGTTGTCAAGCCTAATATAACTTGAAGTTAGGACTAATATTTGTCTAAAATGTGTTCCAACCACTTAGCAAGTGCTCAATACATTAGGCACTTACTGCCTGTTTGTCTACATTTACTAATTATGTTTTCATACCCTATACAATCTGACCAATGTTTTTAGATTTTATCACATGGCACCACTCTTTCTGGGCAAGGAAAAAAGAAATCTAACTAAAACCTAGCTTGTTGAGTATTTTCCCCAATGTGCATTCAATGAGAAGAGACAAAATATTTTGATGCTGTTGAGTGGGCTGCCTACTTGGCCAATTTCCAGAGTCTCACTTAACACTTCAGTGACAAAGGAAAAAAAAATAATAAATACAAGTCTGGGTTTATTTAGAGTCCAGGCTATATTTGTCTTTGAGTAGGAACTCTCTATCTCTCATTCTATATTTTTGGTGTTTGGAATGCACATGCAATTTTACACTTGAGAACAGTTGTTGGCAAAAAAATATGCTCCTATCAAAAAAACTAGAAAACCATTATAACAATATCTTTTTTTTTTTTTGTAAAACTGTTCAAAGATTAACCAATATTTGTTCTTAGAAGTGGCTCCTGAAAAGACAACAGATATTTTCATTTTATTTAAATGTTTAAATCAAGTTTAGAACAAAATGAATTTTAAGAGCAGCTTCTTATAAACCTAAACTAGAAATACATTTTCCCTATCAAAGTCAATATTGATAACATCAATCAAGTGCCAAACTCCTAGGCAGAGAAACAGGTCATGATCTCTGTTTTGGCAATTATGGATGGATTCAGCATACCATTATAACACAATTGAGACGGTAGCATTTTTAAGCTGTTCAATAAATTTCCTTTATTATTAATTTCTTATAGAATCTAAGGCCAAAAAATTGAGGCAAATCTCTGTCCCTACCAAAAATAATTAGTCATTCAAAGACTTCTTAAACTGACCTACCTCAAATGACTCACTATGACATAAACCGATAGTTTCCTTTAAAATCTCAAATTTTTTGACTTTATAAAAATCCATTTATCTTCTATTCTTGGAGGAACCCACAGCTTAGAAAAGCTAATACGTTTCTAAGGTCTCATTTTTAATATTATTTGGACAATTAAGTTTTTTGAAGGGGGAAAATATAATGTTAATTCTATAATTCATTACCTTTATTACTAAAATCATCAATTAACACAATTTCTGCCAAATATTTCCTTGGTGTCCTTTTAATTACACTGTGAACCGTTCTCATGAGAGTTGACCATCCTTCATTATGGAAGACAATGACAACACTGGAAGTGAGCAGGTTTTCATCATAATGCCAATACTTGCATCTGTGAAAAGATTGTAATCGGGTTATTTAGAGGCATTCTATAATTGTCAGTTATAGCTGAACAAACACAATATGCCCACTAGTTCCAATTTCACTAAGATCAAGTTTACTGGGGAGATTCTGTCCTATTGACAAGTCTATATACAATACTGAATGAACACAAACATTTCTGTTTTAATAGAAGAGCGTGGAGGGAGGGAGGGAGAGAGAGACAGAGACCGAGAGAGAGACAGAGAGACAGAGAGAGGCAGAGACAGAAAGACAGAGAGAGGCAGAGAGGCAGACGGAGAGGCAGAGGCGAGGCGAGGAGAGTCAGACACGTGTGCATTATGGTCTAAAGTAAAACAAGGCATTCCAATTAGACTTCATTCCTAACCAGCTGGCAGCAGCAGCTCCTGCTCATTAAGGAGCTCTAGCTGGTGAATTCACTTAGGAAAGGGCTATTCAGTGTCCTCAACTCATGATGCCTGAGAATGCTGTTATGATAATTTCTCAGTGCTTTTCCACATCCATCAGTATCATTTTATATGACCTGGTTTGTTGAACTTCAATCATTATTTTATTTTTCTGGTTCTGAACTTAAGCAAGAGGAGGGACGGGGGTTATTGAGTCATATAGAGTGTATGTTTAACTTGCTATGAGGAAACCACCGTGCAACTTTGTTTAAAAAACTCTTCCGTTACGTTCAAATGTGGCTAAATGTTCAGAAAGACGAAAGGAAACTGGTTGCCTTGAACCAAGTTCTAAAACTGCTTGGGATTGCTAGGTTGACTAAATGATCTTTAGCAATTCTAGATTACAGACAGGGAGTTTCAAAAAAGGGGGGGGGAAGGGAGTGAGTGGAACTCCCCCTGCCCCATCAGAAGTTAACATCCATGGAGTTTGGTGCAGACTCAGAGATTTGTCTAGAATACTGATAAGGAGTCTTGAGCAGCAGGAAGCCAAATTTCTTTTGTAGACACTGTGTAGGTAACCAGAGCTAGTGAAAGGTAGCAAGCACCTCTTTGATGCTAAACTGGAGTTAAGATCTTTCGGTTTAAAATTCTCCAGTGCAGCAGGTTGAAGGGGTTAACAGACCTAAGTGCAGGTCCAAAGCAAGAGTTAAAAACTGGGTTAGCTTCATCACAGATTGAGAGCAGTCAAAGTTTAATGGAAGAAGGTTCTTAATTTCTTCATAGGAATTGGGATTTCTTTTACTCTTGCTTAAAATTGTATTTCTGGGGGATGTGTTGGGATGGGAGGGTGAACTGTCAAAGCCTGATGAATAATAATTCAGGATGTGCTCACAGAATTGAATTATTTATTTAGAAAAATATCCTCCTTGACCCCCCTACTATTTTTGACACTACTGACTACCCTTTCCTCTTCCATAGCCTTTCTTTTGCTTCAGTGACACTCTCTCTTCTGATTCTTTTCCTATATATTCACTTGTTCCTTAGCACTCAGGATCATTATCCATCACCTGCTTCCTTATCATTCCTTACCCACCACATCCAGTCAGTTGTCAAATTCTATCAAGTCTAACTCTCCAAAATGTTACTCATGTTACCCTTTTCCCCACTCTCTGGTCCAGGCCTTCATCATCTCCCACCTGTACTGCTAGGTTTTTGTTTTTGTTTTTTTTCCCTTTCCAATTTAGTAATTCCTTTATTAAGGACCTAGTACAAGCAAATCACTTCTCATGCAAAAATCATTAGTAATATGTGAAAGCTTGCTTACCCTCACTATGTCTTTCATTCTCTCTCTTTAAAAAAAAGTTTTGTGATGTGTTTTGTTTTCATATTACATTTTCAGATTATCTCCAACCTGAGGGCTCTCTTGTGACAAAGCAAAATGATTAAGTAAAAGTAATGATAATGATCTCTCCTGAAAGTTCATTTAACATTCCATACCCTCCATCTCTCTACTTTGTGTGTGTGTGTGTGTTTTTTAATTAATAGAAATCTATTATATATCTCCTTCCCAATGAAATGACCATCCAGTATCTTGGAGGACCAATGATGAAACGTTATCTGTCTCCTAGTGATGGGATTTAGGATGCAGGATGAGACACATGTATTTACAACAAAGCCAGTAAGAAACACTTTGTTCTCTTTGACTATGCCTATTTGGAGAGAGAGAGACAGAGACAGAGAGAGAGAGAGGGAGGGAGGGGGAGAGAGAGAAGGAGATGGGGGCAAAAAAGAAGGGAAGTGGAAGGGGAGAGGAGAGAGACAGAGATTTCTTCACTAGAAATTCTGAAGTGAAAAATGTACTATGAAAAAGAGGAAGGTAAAACAGAAAGAGGGAAAACAACAAATTGGTTGTGACCCAGTTTGGGGTTGCTGGGAACCCCGAAATGTCAAGGTACAAGGTGGAGTTGTCTGGAACGAATTCACACACTCAAATCATCTTCCAGTCAAGTGGCAAGGTTTATTGTAATGTCAGCAGAAGTGAGACTCATGCTTATATACAAAAAGGACAGTGAAAGGATCTGGATGGTATTAAGGAGTGGTAAATGATTTGAGGTGGGCCAAGTAAGACAGTGAAAGGAATGTCAAGTAAGCTAATTAGGTAATCTAGGTGGGCTGGGGTGAGCTAAGTGCCTTAGGTGGAGGTGCTGGTAATCTGGGCTGCTGAAATGTATGGGAAAATTCCTGGACTGGGTTGTATCATCAGTTGTATTTATAATAAAAAAAAACTATCTACTATTAATCTATTATCTATAGAAATTTTGTTAGGCTGATAGTGGGAAAAGAATAAGCAAAAATTTTTATAATGAAAAAATCCTATAAAATCAAATAACAAAATGTGCTTTTAAAGCACAAAGCAGGGATCAATCTACAAGCATGTAGCTCATTAAATATATATTGTGTGCCCAGCCCTGATAGGCATTAAAAGTATTATTGTGATTATTGAAAAAGTAGTGAAAAGAGGTCAAGAGGAAATAAAAGAAACAGAGCCCATCTATGACAATCCAGTCACCGCAGACAAAAGCAAGGTCTGGCCATACCTTTCTGAACAATATTCCTGAATAATCTCCATTTTGCTCTATCCAAGATAAGTAACCATTGAGAAAAATGATTATTTTCTTATCATATTAATAACCAATTTTATATACAGAACCCAAACATCCTCTTCTTGCTCTCTCATTCAAAGCCCAGTCTCTCAAGGTCAATTCACCCCACCCAGACCATCTTTTCTAGGTGGAATGCTTACTGTAACCTCACCATCGTCCAGCTCTAATAAGAACTGGTAGAGAAGAGATTCTTTTGTATTTACTGCTAGAACTGGAATGATCTAGTAGTGCTGACATGACCAAAGTCACATTCTCCCAGCCTTTCATTAGAAAAAGCCCACCTCTCATTATAATATTCATTCTCTCATTGATTGTTCGCCAATTAGAGTTGATTTTTACCCTCAGGGACACCCCCTTTCCAAAAGGTATTTAAACATTCAGCAATATTAATTTGAAGTCTTTGGTTATGAGAGAGACTATTGACCTCAATTTATTATTTGCTAGCCTAATTAATATATTCATTATTAATTATCCAGAAGCTCTGTCTCTAGACTTTTCATTTGGCTCACCATGATTCAGGTCCAATGCTCTCTAATCATTTACAAGTTACTTCAGCAGGAGAATGGTAGGCTAGACAGTCAATAAACATTCATTAAGAACCCACTTTGTGTCAGGCACCAGTGCTGGGGATACAAAGTAAGGCAACAGACAGTCCCTGACCTCAAGGAGCTCACAATCTAATGGAAGGCAAAACACAAAAAGAAGTTGAAGAAGTGGTGTGTTTGGAAACGTTTGTTGAGTATAGTTGTTGAGAGTGGGCATTGGACAAGAATCACACAGGATAGAAAATAGAGGTTAAAAACTAAATGCTTATATAGGGAAAAAAATCATTTCTATCTACATTCCAGGTTGATTTATTTATATCTCACAGTAAATGGTACCGAAATGAGTATTCCATACAATCCAAATATCTGTTACGTGTTGAATGCACCTGTTGTTTATATATATACACACATATATATATTTTCCCCTCCTGTTTCCTTCTCCTCACAAAGCTTTCACCCCTCTTTTCCTTTATTATCATGTTTAAACATTCTTTGTATAGCATCTTAAAGCAACCTGGAGGAAAGCTGTTATTTAATTTGATACATCTGGGTGGTCATTGGTATAACTGACCTAAGCAGAACACAACAGCCTTTCCACACACTTCTCATGCTCTGAAATCCCTGGTCTCTCCATAAATCCTCAATAAACAATGTGCCCCCCTGTGCTGGTGGCCCATGTTGTTCACCGCCTATCTCACCAATGGGAATTGCGTTGACTCTTATGCCCTATTCGTATGTTCTGTTCAGTCATCCAGTCGTGGCTGATTCTTTGTAACCCTATGGACCATAGAACCATAGTACCAGGCCCTTCTATCCTCCACTATCTCTCAAAGTCTGTCCAGGTTCATACATAACCAGCCTCTTCTTATTTTCTGATCACATATACGATGATAAGACTTAGAGCTAAAAAAAGGAACCCTAGAAGACCAGCCCCTTCACTTTACTGAGCAAACTAAAACCCCTGAAATGTTAAGTGACTAGCAGAGGGGTGGGGAAACTGTGGCCTGAGGTCACAAGTGGCCCTCCAGGTCCTCAAGTGCGGCCCTTTGACTGAAGACAAGGCTTTGAGTCTTGGGGCCATCATCTGCTTATAAAATTCATTACCGTGGACATATTACCTCACTTGGAAAAAATAAAGGTAATACACTTGAATTAGAAAGGCCACGTGGTATTGTATCAGGCTAGTGCAGAGTCAGGAGAATCGGGGTTCAAGTTAGGCTTCTGATATAGTAGTTGTACGACCATGGGCAAGTCACTTAATCAGTGTGCTTCAGAAAACTCTGTAAGACTATAAGCTACAAACAAGTTTCCTATCTGTAAGGGGAGCTAGGGGTCAGGGGTGTTTATACAATGGGAGTGCTCTATTCCAGTGAAGTCAGAGATCTGGACCAAAAAACC